TTTCTCCTTTGGATTGTTTAACAAAAAAAATAATGAAAAATGAAGCGCACTCAAATATTAGTAGAAGGCACATATAAATGATGATGGATATTAGCAAGAGGAGCGAGTTTGAGAAATATTCTGGACTATAGACGCTGATAATATACTTTCTTTACCAGGAGGAGTCCCTTCTGTTCCTGATATATCCATGTGGCATTTGACAAGCATTGCATCTATCCTTTAAAATCTGGTTTTAGATAGAGGCAGATTGTGGCAGAGATATATACCATCACGCGGAAGCATTTTAAAGATAAAATTTCACCTTGTTTAGTTACAAATAATAATCAACTCACAAGATCTTGGACTCGACTCATGATAACTGATAAGTGTATTTTTCTACACTTATTTATTACCTACATAAACTTAAATATTGATTAAATGAGTGAATTTCTAGTAACAATTATGTAATTATTGCTTTTGTAGGTAAAAGTCACTCAAGGAAAAAGAACAACGCAAAAGGAAGTGAAAAGGGTCCAAAAGCATACAAAATTTGTGAAGTTGAGGACCAAAGTACACAAGTCAAAAAGTTGAAGGACCTTGAGTTGCAATTTTTGAAGGGCGTGATTGATATGAAAGTCAAAATTTGAGGATCGAATTATACTAAACTAAAGTTTAGAGACCAAATGTACAAATTGCCAGATGACTTGTGCGAAAAAAGAAAAAGAAATCAAATGTGGAAGCTAAAGGGGTTGTTCTCTCCGTGTTTCAGTTTTTAGTATTGAGTTTTGAATTCATTTTGGATTTTGTGTTTTGAGTGTCTATTTTGAGATTGTTGAAAACTCGTTCTTTTTGTCATTTTAAAGAATTGTTTTCAAAAATAAAATAATGAAAAATGCGGTTTCTTTCTAATTTTGAAAAACTGATTATTCAATATATATATATATAGTTATTTTACTTATATAGTGAAGCAAAAGCAACTGCCATTGTGGTCATTGAAATTCCATGCTAGTGACTCAAGTTCAAATCTCAGCTTTTGTACTGTGAATATAAAAAGAAAATTCATTTTTATTGAATTGTGATGAACCATAATTGAATTCGTGACCTTCAAAAAATTCGTGACTACCCCAACTAAGCTATCCCACTATTGTTAAAATTTAGTCGTTTTTTGCATTTTGAAGTTTTGGGTTGGTTTTAACTAAAAACAGCCAAAACGACTTTTTTAGGCATTTTTCGTTATCTTTATAAATTTTAAACTCGTTTTTGGAAATTTGTTTCTAAAAATAAGTAAAATTGTTTTCAATGTTTTTGAAAACTAAAAATAGTTTGAAAACAACAAAGAGAACAAACCCTAACTTTTTGGCAGAGAGTGGGCGCCAGGCGCCATTTTTAATGGGAAAAAAATTAAAAAAAGATGTTGGGACCGTGTTGCTTTTCTTGAAGAATTTTAGGGACTTGAGCTGCAAATTTTGAATA